ATTTTAATTTTAATTTTAATTTTGACTTTTATTTTAATTTCGACTTTTATTTTTAATTTCGACCCCCATTTTAATTTTGACTTTTATTTTTAATTTCGACTCCTGTTTTTAATTTCGACTTTTATTTTAATTTCGACTCCCATTTTAATTTTGAAATATCAAAAATTTGAAATGGTATTTTGGGGTCAATTTCGGGATATTTATATTTCGGGTTTCGGGTTCCAAAATAATTTTGCGTGCAAGTATAGTGACAACATATATGTAATTCCATTATTACACCTAAGTAAAAATAAGTGAAAATAATATAATTATATTATTTTCACTCATATCAAATACTGATATTTAATATTAGATATCTAATATTTCACAGATAAGTTATATTAAATACTAATATAAAATATCTATAAAATATTAAATATCCAATATGAGATATTGGTATCTGATATTTAGATATTTATTTGTCATTTATCTAGTACCTAATAGATATAGTATTTATGAATTTTTAATCAGTGTAATTAAATATATATAAAATAACATAAAGAATAACTTTATTAATATATCAAATATCTTTAAGAATCTAGTTTTCAAGATTGAGTAACATTTATAAATCTTAGTTAATCTTGAATTTAAAAATTATTAATTTTAATTTAATTTGATTTGTATTTTAAATTGGATTACATTAATTAACTAAGATTATTTGAAGTACTACTTATATAAATTGTTGAAACTATATTAAAATTATAATAAAAAATTTGAAAAATTATAGATTTTTTATCTTTCAAACTTTCAAATAGGTTTTACCTGATAACCTTAAAAACTATTAAAAAAAAAGAAATATTATAAGTTTGAAAATTTTATACTAGATAATTTTAAATTGTAAAATGTAAATATTTCTTATAACTTATTAAAATAATAAATAAAATATTATTGAAGTTAATTTCAATGTCAATATCAAAATTGTATTAAAAAGTAAAAAATTATTACCTTTAAATTAATTTAAAAATTACTTTAATAATTTGTATTACAACATATTTAAGTTATTGTTAAATAGCTTGTTTTATTAATAAATTTGTAAATCTAGTAAAATCATAAAATTTAATATTACTTTTATTATATAAATTTTACAAATTATTAAATCAATTGTAATAGAAATTATAACAATAACATCATATTTACAATTTGAAATGTTAATATATTGTTTGTAATATTAATTAACTAAACTTTTTACATTCTTTTATTCATCTATTAATTGATTAATCAAGTACTTTTACTTCTTTTACAAGATGTTATTAACAAAATTAATAAAATATATAATAAAATTATTTAATTAACTTTTGAAAAAATATTTATTTTAAAATTAATACAGATAACTTTTAATATTTAAAATTATATTTTGATATTGAAATTAATATTACTTTTTTTGATATTTATATTTATAGTGATATATAATATTATTGCTAACTTTTGAATAAGGAACAAAAAATAGAACTGGTCTATAAAACAAATATATAGAATGTTTAAACAAATACATTCTTTTGAAAAAAATATTTATTTGATATAATGTTGGAAGTAACAAAAAACTATTTTGTTTAAGTAATAATTTTAGATTACTATTTACTGTTCAAATAAAACTGGTATAGTAGTTGTAGATAAGGTTAGTATTAAAGTAATTTATTAATGTAAATATTTTTGTAATTCTGAACTAAAAAAACATGTCAAAGTAAATTATTTATTTCAAATTATCGTGAAAATAATTATTATTTATTTGATTAGTCCAAAGGATAAAATTGTTTTTGGGATCTTATTAGATTATTGATGAATATTTGATTAAATGATAATAAAAGTTGGGATGTTATTATTAAGGTAATAAATATATTCTTAAAAGAGAAAAGTTTCAAAACAATTGTAAGAACACATCAATTATCATTTCAGCTATCAAACATGTCAAATTGAATACTTTATTACTTAAAATGACTATAGAAGAAAATGACCAATGTATATATAAATTTATTAAAAATAATTTTATTGGAGAAATAATGTTTATTCTAATTTATATACAGCCATTGGGTGAATTTTTTTTTGTTGATCATGAATTTCACTTTTTTACTTATGGTCAAAATAATTCTAAACAACAAATGAGTGAGTATATAAGAGGATGACAAATTAAGAATTGCAAAATTTTAATTAATCTTTGAATCTTTTAAGTCAAAATTTAACCATTTCTTTTGACCAGTGTTATGTAATTGCACGCAATGTGATAATGTGTAATTTTATTTGTTCCATAATATCATAAATTTCTGGAATATTATATGAAAATTGCTAAAGCTCACTGGTGGTGATTTCACTCTGGGCAAAATTAAATTTACGTGGGCAAAGTTAGGGTTAGGGTTGATATGCAAATTTATTATACAGGAAATCAACGAACAATTAATAATCATTCTGTTCTGATAACTATACAGGACTCATAATGACAATACACAAAGTTCTTCCTTTACATTTTTACAAAAAAAAAAAATTGCTTCCAAATATAAAAAATCCTGGTATCTCGCACTGTACAAATTTTAAAATTACATCACGTCACTTCGGGACGACGTATTTTGTGTCACGGCATCATCACTACACAAGAAGATTAATTGTAAAGATTAAGGTTATTCATTCAACAGTCTTTATACATAAAAATGAAAAAGTCTATAAAAGCAAAAAAAAGTATATGTTTATTGGTATAAACAATATAAAAGTATAAACTGCAGTTTGAGTAATTTTATTAAATACCACGCGACTTTTACAGATATATCTACTATTGTAAGTAAAAAAGGAAAAGGTGCCGTTACAACCAGCACAAGTAGAAAACGTCGCCTTTCTCTCAATTCTGAACAAGAGGAAAACTTGATAAAAAAAGAAGCAAAACTTGGTAACTATTCAATTGCTTGTGTTATATTTTTTTATTATAAAATACCACGAGATTTCATATTTTGTTCTTTAAAATTTCACGTTTTACAGCAACATCACCTGAAGTTTTCTCGATTTTTACACCCAAAACCAAAATTGAATGGTCACAACACGAATCAATTTTGATCGGTCTTCATCAGATATCCAAAGATGGAAGGATAGAAGACAATCGGAATATCGCTGGGCTTGATTTGGTAAAATTTAAAAAACTTTATAGATTGACATCATCAATTAAATCTTTATTAATATATATTTAATTTAGGATTGTACATTGATTTCAAGTAAAGGAAATCGTAAAGTTTCAAAGGATAAATATGATTGGGTTTGGTGGAGTAAAGAAGTTCCAACGAAATTGAAAAAAATTTATGAAGAGGGGTATAAAAATTAATTATTATTATTATTATTCCTTGAATAAAATGTGATTATTAAAAATTATTGGGTTTTCAGATATAGGATTGTTATCATAAGTAATCAAAATGGACTTGATGTCTCTAATAAAAATAGCGAAAAAAAGAGGACAGACTTTATTAATAAAATTGGGAATATTGCAAATAGTGTAAATCTTCTAAATTTATTTTCATGATTTTTGTCAAAAGTTCGAAACATGTATTCATAAATATTTATAATTTAGTTAAACGTACCATTTGAAATCTATGCAGCTACAAGTAAAGATAAATATCGTAAACCTATGATTGGAATTTGGAAATATTTGGTTGAAAATAGAATTAACGGTGTTGTTGGTATGTAAAAATTAATGTTTATTTATTTTGATGTTTATTTAGTTTAATTATCTTTGTTGCGCATTTTTTTCTTAAAAGATATGGAAAAAAGTTTTTATGTTGGAGATGCGGCCGGTCGCGTAAATGAGTGGGCCGATACAGATAGGTGGGTTCATAAATTGATAGTGATAATTTTAAGATTTTTAAGATGTCTTAAAATTTATTTTAATTTTTTATAGAAAGTTTTCCGAAAACGCAGGACTTAAATTTTATACTCCAGATGAATTTTTCAAGAATTCTGAAATTGAACCTTTTTCATATGATTTTGATCCTAAAAAGATTTCAAAAAATGGTTTGTTGTTTTTGTTGTTTGTTTTATATATATACATATTATATATGTGTATATATACATTTATCTTATTAATTACATATATTTTTAATTTTATAGTCCCATTATTCATTCCAACTACTCCACCACTTTTCGCGCCAGATAAAAAATCTGAAATCATAGTCTTTGTTGGATATCCTGCGAGTGGAAAAACTACATTTGCCAATAAGTGGTTGGTAAATAACGGATATGTATATGTTAATCAGGTATCATAATATATAATATACAATATATAATTAATACAGTGACGGTTTACAATGTATCCATGATTTCAATTTAATTCATTCCGAAAATATATTTACTCAGGATACATTGAAGACGAAGGCAAAGTGTGTAAAGACTTGCGAGGAAGCTCTAAAAAAATCCAAACCAGTTGTCATAGGTAATTCTATTTATTCTTTACTTTGCTAAAATATTTAACATTTTCTTTTTACCTTTATTTATCATTTTACCCATAGATAATACAAATCCTGACGTTGAAAATAGAAAAATGTACATTGATCTGGCAAAAAAATATGATGTTCCTATCCGTTGCTTTTGGTTCCAAGCATCAGAGGCATTATCTAAGCATAATAATATGTATAGAGCTTTTGGTACAACTGGTCAGGTATGTCAAAATAAAGAAAACTCTTAAAACAAAAAAAAAAAATTATATTGTTCTGATAGTCTTGAATTTAAATGACCCAAATTAGAAACGTCCATTATTGCCCGAAGTCACGTTTCATTATTACAGGTCAAGATTTATAGAACCTAAAATTGAGGAAGGATTCCAAGAAATAAAGTTAATTAATTTTTTATTTGAAGGCAGTGAAGAAGAAAAAATTTTATTTGAAATGTGGTATTTGTAATTTTAATGTTGTTTAATTATATAATTATAAGATTATACAATTTATGTAATTTAGCGATCTGCAATAAATATAATCGATTTCTTGTAAACTTTTTGATTTATTATACAACTTTGTATTTTTGATATAATTGACAGTGATAATGCTAGACTAATTTTGATTGTTATATTAAAATTAAAAAAAAATGAAATTAAGCCAAAATTTTTCTTTAAAAAAAACAAATGTTAAATGCATTAAATGTATTAAATGTATTGGCTATTGTCATCAAGTAATATGAAAATTTATTTATGCAATCAATAATAGTGATTATAATATAATATGCGAAAGAATCTAATCATCTTCGTAATCGGATTCTTCTACGGGAGTGTAATAAGATGGATATACATTTGTAACGCGATCCCAATACCACCAATCATTTGACAATTGATAAAAATCGGCGGTAACAAGCATTCCAGGCATAGGATAATTCGCAACATCTGGACTAAGATGAATAAAGAATGGTTCCTCTTTTTCATTTTTATGTGGGCGGACTGTCATTTTTCGTAGATTTTGTGGAGAAATTTCATTCTTTTTGATATTATCAGTCTTAGAATCTTCGGTGTTTGAAGTTTTGGTATCAATTTCCGAAGTATTGCTTTCTTGAATTGGTTCAATATCTAAAATTTCAACCTCGAAAGAAATCAGAGATTTTTTTCGTAACTGTTTTAATTCTAAAGCTTTATCTCCGAAAACACTAATCGCTATTTTTTCGCTTTCCGCTGGAGAAATTCCAATCAATTTCGCAACACTTTCCTCTCCATCCCAAGGATCATCAAATAAACTATGTAGTTCACCACCGTATAACAAGGAACAAGCTTTGTTAAACTGTCCAGGCGCAAGCTGTGCTAAATATTTACAATTTGGAAGTTCATTCTTTGCACGTTTAGCGATTTCAAGGGCTTTCTTCATATCATCCAAGTATTCGGGACACACTTCGTGCTGGATTAAATAATTCAAGAATGACATGACAACTTGAGGTCCTTCCCGGAATTGTTCTATTTGTACGTACCCAGATTTATCAATTAAGTAACTAGAAAGGTAAACTTCGGCGATGTACGTAAAATCTACTTCTACTTCTTCCTCATCAAGTTCAATAAAGTCAGTGGCACGACGTATCGTGATCTCATCAGCATCAGCATCGGCATTGTCAATTCCATCTTGACCCTGAAACGCTCTTTGACCAGTACTAACACCACCAAAACGAAGATAGGAACTAAACACTTGATTACGGGTAGAACTAAATTTACGATTTTTTTTATATTTTTGTATTGCTGTTTCAATACGATGAGTAATTGGTCGTGACCTATAAAAAGGAAATCCATTAAATACCACTAAAATATTAAATATTTGTATGTATTACATCATTTAAATTCAATGCGTACGGATCATAAAGTTTATCTTCATCTTCTTCCCTCGGTCCAGGTTCGTGAAAATCCAAATCGGGATCCGCTCCTTCGGTGACCTTTTTCTTCTTCTTCTTCTTTTTCTTTTTCTTTGCTGGCATAGCCAAACTGACAGTGTTAATTTGAGTCCCAGGAGCAGCGTTACTTGACGCCTCGGAAACTGGAGTCTCGGAAGCTGGAATCTCGGAAGCTAGAGTCTCGGAAGCTAGAGTCTCGGAAACTGGAGCCCCGGCTTCGTCTTTCTCTTCTGTAACAGTGGTGTGTTTGCTTGTGGTATCAGATTTGATGTTATCAGAACAGCATTGCTTTCCTTGATCACCTTCCTGAAATTCGTTATTTGTCATTTTTGCGTCCTTTTCGTTATTTCTTTCCATTGATACTTCGTCTTTCTCTTCTGTAAGAGTGGTATGTTTGATTGTGGCATCAGATCTGATGTTATTAGAACAGGATTGCTTTCCTTGATCATCTTCTTGAAATTCGTTATTTGTCATTTTTGTATCCGTTGTAAGCGTTATTGAATTGAGAAAAAAAATTAAAAACCAAAATTTTGAAAATATATATAAAAAAAAATTGGATTTGTATCCTCTTTTGGAAATGATCTGGTGAGACTATTAGATTTATATCCTCTTTTGGAAATGATCTGGTAAAGCACTGAGGCTTAGCAGAGGCTGCGTTTGAGCATTCGAAAAGTCATAACATTTTCGATATAATTAAATTAAACCCATTTTATGGTTTTTTTACATATCCTTTATTTAACATTGAATGAGTTGAAATTAGACCATGAACAAAAAAAGATGTAAAAAAAAAGTAATGTAACTTTGAAGAGAAATAAACTAAATTAAATGACATTAGAATGACATAGTAGTTTTAATTTAGAAAAATAAAAAAACATTAAATATTATATATAATTTGTAAGAAAGATTTGTTTTTGGTATATATAATTTCAAGATGGATACTAAATTATTTCATCAACTTTTTCATCTTCGACCATTGGTATTTCTTCAACAGGATCATCAACAACATCATCAATTCGACCAATACTGCCATTATTCGTAAATTGATTCAGTTCATTTTCAGTATTATTTTTGGAATCGACTTCAAGGACCACGATTTCATCATCGATCGGGATTGTAGTTTCAGTCGGGTTTTCGCTATGGCACTGATAAATGTCGATGCATAATTGAATAAGTTCATCTGGCATTTCAGGCGAAAGCTTGGGATACACAAAATAATCTGGGTACGTAGTCTTGGGAAGATGCCTAGGAGTTGCAAATAAATGCTATAAATTGAAATTAAAATTAGAAAAATTAGAATAAAATTATTGTAAAATTCATGTCTATAAATATTACAAACCTTGTACCGGAACATTCTTCTTCCACCATACAATGCTCTTCTTTGCTCGAATTCTTTTCTTGAATTCACCGTTTTCATTTCACGTTTCCTTTTTCTAGAATTATTATTACTATTCATTATTTGTTCAAATTGTTGAAATAGTTCATCTCCAGCAACGCTTGATGTAATATGGTTCCATACTGGTGAGATTTGATGTCTGATTATTTCATCATCAGTTAAAGTTTTAGAAACTGGGCTTTGAGGAACAGAGCGATGACAGAATAAAGATTCCAGTTCAATATCAGAAAGCCTGTAATCAATTAATTCATCCTCTGTACGCCATGCTTCTTCATCAGACTCTGAGCTATTTAGACCAATATCAATAGGAGCTAATATCTCATCTGAGTTTTGTATCAATTGTCCATTACCACCGTCATCAGTTAGAAGGTCCATTGATGCTTCATTATATGGATTTCGGTCTTCTTCAAAAGAAGATCTTCTCCTATACTGAGACAATTGAAAGCTACCACCACTATTACCTCCACCACGTCCAGCAGAAGACATTCTACGAATTCCCGGTACCGGTACTGAACTTTGTTCAATCCCATAACTATGATTTGACACAAACATTGACGAACGACTTGGTCGGTTATTCGCAGACAGTTGAGAGGCTACTTGTGGTATCATGTTCATATTACGAGGATCAACAATTCCACTAGGACCTCGAGATGGTGAATTGAAATCATCATGGCGGAAGTCATTACGATCATAAAATTCGGGCATAACACGATTGAAGGGGATAGCATTAGCCCTTAAAGATGAGGAAGGAGATTGTAATTGCGAACCTGAATAAGAAATTCCTCTTCTAATGGTTCCACTGGATAGATCATAATCGGAACTATATCGACGATCGTTAAATTGTGAGGAAGGAGAACGCATTGTAGGAAGGAATTGAGGCCCGTCCGGATAGGGCGGTTGACTCTTGGTAGTGGGTGAGGTGGCGACATTGCTTAATGTGCCACTACGAGTCCTCAATGGCAAATCTCTATTGGACGTATTATTAGTTGTATTTTGTTCAACAATATCAAGTATTCGTTCATTATTCGTATCCTTTCGATCGTCAGACAATGACCTTTCGGTAGATTCGTCTTCGGCGTTTAATCGAGGTTTTTTGCGAGGCGTATCTGCGCCATCATTGTCGTCTTTATTTAATGATTCAAAATCAGTATTTATGCCGCTTTCGGTCTGTTCGGTCATAATTTGACGAACATTCCCAATATCAACGTTTGATTTCTTGCCATTATCTTCATTAGGAAAGGTCCACCGACTTTCACGGGTTTCTGCGTTAAAATAATAAACCTTATTTTTACTTGAGATGCATTTTTTCCATGGATAGGGTGGAATATCATCCTCTTTAGGTAAAATCAAATCTGTGTTAGATTCCTTCAACTGTCGATCATGAATATTAATGCTTTTCTCGTCTCTGGTTCGAATTTCTTGAGAAAATTCTCGGTTTGCATCACGTTGTTTTTCACCAGCGGATGAAGGATTTCTTTCAGTGTCAGAACGACGGACAGATTCCAGTTTGTTTGTCCGATTCATTTGTTCAATTTCTAAATTCCTTGACATTCTTCGTTCAGGATCATGATGGCGATCATAGGACTGTTTATGAGAATCAGCAGAATTGCTCCGACTTCTAAATTCACCATCACGAGTTCTTTCCCGATCTCGATCTCTTCGATGATCTATAAGGTCCTTATCGATAAAAGTACCTGGTCCACGATAATCCTTTTCTCGGTTTTCTCTTTCGTCCCATGATTGACGCTGCTCCAACTCTCGAGGGTGACGCTCAATCGCATTATCAGGTCTGCCTTGATTATATTCGGTACGGTATCTATCAATTCCCGGAATTTCGCTACGAATATCTCGTTCACGGTAATCTCTTTCAAATTCACGAATTGGTCTTCGGTCGGGATCTCTTATATGATGTTCTGATGATGGTCTGTAAAAATCCGGGAGAACACTTGTACGTTCATGTAAAGGACGCTCATCTCTTCCAACCCGAATTGCTTCTTTTGATTGAAATTCATCTCTTTGACGAATGTCTCTTTCTTTATCTCTAATACGATAATCAGGTGGTCGTTGATTTGAAGAAAGAGCGTCACCCCTTTGTTCCCTGTCATAATATGGTTTGCGCTCAGTCGTTTCTAGTTCTTCTTTTCTTTTCTTTTCAGTTCGATCAGGTTCAGACGAAGCAATAGCAATAGGTTGTGCGTTTCTCTGCCTGGAATCTCTATCTTGATATGATGGGTCATTTAATGGCTCTTTAGGACGGATGGATGATGGTCTTAATCTCTCCGATGCTTCCCGCTGATAATGTGAATCTTTGTCGCGATCCCGATTCAAGTCCCTAATAATCCTTTCAGGCGCTGGGGGTGCAGGACGATACTCATCTGGCCTACGGTTTGCGGTGTATGGTCTTTCATCTAATCTGCGAAATGTGGGTTCCTTTTCATCAACTTTACGAATTGCTGTGGGATCGCGTTCGTAGATTTTAGAGGACGTTTCTTTATCCTTTGTATCTTCGTGGGATTTCTGTTCTCGGTCCCTCGGTGAATCTCGTGCTTTTGATAACTCATCCCGCTGACGAGAAACAGAATTATATTCTCGCTCACGAGGATTTTCGAGTGGTCTATCTTTCAACGTATCTTCTCTCTTACTATTTTCATTTGGATGATTTTGACTCTTTACAGTTTTCTCCCGGTCCGAAATGCTTGGTGATCTGCTAACCCCGCCACGTATAGTACTATTTGAAGAAGTGTCAGCCGTAGGAGTATGGCTACCATGTGATCCACGGCCTCGTTCATGATCAAGCGTGAGACGATCTCTTCGTGGTATTTCCAAATGTGATTTATCTTCAATAATACTTTGATTGTAACGCTCTTGACGCTCACGCTCACGTCTTTCAGAGGCAATCGCGCGATTGTAACGTTCTTCTCGCTGCCTTTCCCGAACTTCTCTGATCCTTCTTCTATCATCTTTATGTGGTTGAATCATAGGTACTTCTCGATTAGCTCGGTCGAAGCTCCTATCTCTTTCTGAATTACGAAATGAAGACGCATCTTTATTTAGGTCATTTTCTCTAATTCGCGTAAGTTCCTTATCGCGATTCTTGTCACGATCATGAATTAAATCATTCTGTTGTGTATCAGTTCGTGTTAAATGTTCACGATTGCTTTCGTTATTCTTTGTCACTTGACCAAGATCGGACAGAAAATAATTTTCTTGATACTCCTGGTAATCTTCATAGTCACTTGGCAATATAAAATCATCGTCGGCCAGTATTGAAACGACATCTTCTTTTGCTGCATCTTCTGATTCTTCGTAATGTTCATTCGTGGCGGGAAGAGTTGCAGTATCACTAAAGCTTGTAGACCTTAGTTTTTGCAATTCCACATTTCCAGCACCCTCAAAACCGTCATGAACATCTTGGTCTTGAATTTTCATCCTAGATTGTAATAAGGTAAGGAAAATCAAATCGATCATTTGTTCGTTAGGTTATCGTTATAATGAATTGGATTGTGACGAATTATACCCTATTTAAAAAAATAAAAAAAGATTAATGATGTCATGCCTTGCGTCCGAAAAAGCCTTTGACTCTTTTGAAATGTTGTTTACTGATTCTTTGAGATTTTCTGTATCCAAATTTTCAGAATTAATAAATTCTGACATATTTTTACTATCTTTTCCTTCCAATTTGGGTCTTACTTCAGCGGATTGGCGGTCTTTCGCTTTTCCAGTATCTTGAGTAAGTTCACCCTCAGATAGCTCACGTTCAGCCTTTAAAAACCGGTAGAGATTCAATGGTGAACGTTATGAAGCGACTCCGTTTATGTGTAACTATACTATAAAAAAAGATGCCAACCTGCCGAGAATCGGAGACTCGCCTAACTTTGTTACCGTTGTTAGAAGAAATGTCTTTGATTTCCTTTTTGGTTTTTGCTGGTCTCGGTATAAGCGCAGTTCCAGAATTTTTAGTACCTAAACGTTCAAAAACAGATTGTCTAGGTTGTTGAGGCTGAGGATTTTGGTCAGCGATTTGAATTCGCTTTTTTCGTTGTTGTTTTGGTGGTTGATTACGAGACATTGCTCGATCTGCTGGCATATCAAGTTTCAAGTAGAAAGTTCTTCCCGTTCTAAAGTATTAAAAATTGGCGTATCACATGCTGTAATAAATAACGTTGGCAAATGTGTTGAATATGTACAATTGGTTGAATCCATATAATGTTTTGTTAAATATCACCGACCGCTGGTCCGAATTTGATAATTTGATTGACATAACAATAAGCTAATTAGGGACAAGTTAATGTACAAACCCTTGCCAGGGTATAGGTTAAGATTTCTCCTGTTTCACGTGATTTATGTAAGTATAAAAAACTTTTACTCAAAAGTTGTAACTTGAACGATGAATCACTTGGGTTCTACAAACTCCACTTTGAACGTTACCACTTTGAGAGAATTAGCGAGAAAGGAGTTGACAAGTGTTCTTGACTCAGTATGAATTCATTATTAAATTCCTATATTAATAAATATTTATTCATTATTAAAATTCTAATAAATGATACACTTTTAAGGTGCGGGGAAAAAAATGTTTGGTGTTAGATCCAAATATAAGTTCACCTTTAAGTTTAATCGCTGAATTTTCTTTACTAAGGGTACTTGTTATTTTTTCACGTGTTTTTGGAATAAATATAATAATAAGTGCGAAAAAAACTTATCAATTTCGTTTATTAAACTTTAATTAAAAGGATCATGGTGTCGAAAAAGTACATTATCTTCAACAAGGTCCAATAGAAACTGAGTTACGAAGTTTAATTTATATTTGTCGGCCTCAATTGCAATATATGAAATATATCGCAGGTATAATGATCATTCCCGAGTACATTTCCGAGTGATTCATTGTAAATTCAATATTTTATGGTTTTTTTTTTATTCATTAGAACATATTCAACATCATCAAGAGGAAATTTCGGATAATCCTAATGCTCAAAAATACGAATACAATCTCTTTTTTGTTCCTCGACGAACTATGATTTGTCAAAAGGTTTTAGAAGAGGCTGGAGTATTTGGGGATATCCTTTATTTTCATATTTAATACATTTTTATGTTTAATTCAAGGAAAATCAATCAAATTATCTACAGACAATCAGTGATCAGCAATATCCTTGACTAATTTGTCTAATCGTTTTTACAAATTATGATTGGAGAGTATCATCTTGACTTTATTCCTTTCGAAGATGATCTCTTGTCTTTAGAATTGGATTACACTTTTAAAGAACTTTATCTGGTATTTCCTTTTTCATAAAAATTTTTTAATTAATTTATATTATTATGTCAAAAACTTTTATATCGTATCGTCTGTCGTAATAGGATGGAGATTATACATCAATTTATTATGCTGCAAGAGCGCTTATGAAGTTACAAACTTTATTTGGATTATTTCCAAGAGTACTTGGAAAAGGTGATTGTGCAAAGGTAAGAAAGATTTTGATATACTTCAAATATTATTCAAGAAACATCAATTATTCATTTTGTTTTTTGTTTTTTTTTTTTTTTGAATAGCACCTTGCCGATATGCTGCTTCGTATGCGCCGTGAAGTGGCCGTAGATGATCCATCTTCTACGTTGGTAGTATCTCAAAATATAGATTCTCTCATAATCATCGATCGATCAGTTGATCTTATTACACCTCTCTGTACACAATTAACATATGAAGGGTTAATAGATGAAGTATTTAGTATTCGTGCATCACACGTGGAAGTAGATTCATCAATTGTAGGACCTGCTCCGCAAAAATCGACAGTAGGAACACCTACTTCAACTTCGACAACAACAACAACACCACCTTCTCAACATCCACCTCCACCTCAACCCCAAGCAAAGAAAAAGAAAATTGCTCTTAATTCAGGAGATAAATTATTTGCTCAATTAAGAGATATGAATTTTGCAGTAGTGGGAAGTGTTCTTAACAGAGTTGCCAAAAGAATTAATGATGATTATGAGGTATATAAATATCTTTATCAAATTAAATTTCCTTAAAAGACAATTCAATTTTTTATATTTATTAATTATTAATTATTAATTATCAATACTTATTAATACTTATCAGGGAAGACATCAAGCTAAAACAGTTGCCCAAATTCGAGAATTTATTAATAAATTAGGAGGGTTACAATCGGAGCATCAATCTCTAAGAACTCGTATCCTTTCTAAAATGAAAATAATGGTTGATTAATAAACCATACAGATTAAAGAATTTCCTTTGACAAAAAAAAATTTTCAGATACTGGCATTGCTGAAGAGATAATGGGAGTTACTGTTACACCAGAATTTAATAAATCTCTAGAGGTGCAACAAAGTACATATTTTCATTTAGAACTAATCAATGAATTAAGTTAAAATTAAAAATAAATCGTATATTTTTATGATTCTAATAATGTGTAATTTATTTATTTATTTATTTATTTAGATTTAGTTGCAGGTGTCGATGTAAATACACAAAATGATTGTATAGAAGAAATGATCAATCGACAGGTTCCATTAATACAAGTTTTACGATTGTTGTCTCTCCAGAGTCTTGTGAATGGTGGATTAAAACAAAAGAATTTCGAATTTTTCAAAAAAGAAATATTACAGGTAACCGTTTTCAAATATTTTAAAAGATTTCAAAAATTGTTTCATATAATTAAATTGTTTCATATAATTAAATTGTTTATATAATTAAATTATTCATTAAAAAAAAACAACAACAACATAAAGACCTATGGCTTTGAACATCTCCAAACGTTATTGAACCTTGAAAAATTAAATATGTTTGTAAAACAAGTTTCGACTCGTAACCCATACGCTTATATTCGTAAATCACTTCGATTGATTGTTGATGAAGTGGAAGAAAACAATCCCCATGATATTTCATATGTTTATTCAGGTTATGCACCTCTGAGTGTACGTTTGTTACAATGTGTAGTTACTAAAGGTGATAATGGGATTAAGAATAATGGATGGAAAGGATATGAGGATGTATTGAGAATGTTACCAGGTAAAACATTTGATGAAGTTCAAAGGAAAGAAGATAGTGTTATTCGTCCCAAAAGTAAGTTATTATAATGGTATTTATTGGGTAATGTTATTAGAATGTTTATAATGTTGAAGATTTCAATTAAATATTATTTATATTATTTATATTATTTTTATGTGATTATCCTTGATCATATAGGATTAATACAAGGACAACAACCACGTGTGACACTTATATTTTTCTTAGGTGGATGCACTTATACCGAAATTTCAGCAATACGCTTTTTGGCACAGCAAGATGATGGTAAATAATTAACGTTTTCTTCTTCTTCTAATAAAGTTAAAATATAGTTAACATATATTTTTGTTATAAAATTTAATAGGTCAGCGTGAATTTGTTATAGCTACTACACAAATTATCAATGGAAATTCTTTATTAAATTCAATCATGCAGAAAAATGAACATCCAGGAGTAACGGCTGGCACGTTGTAAAATAATAATGTAAAATATCAATAAATATCAATAGAGAGAGATTTTTTTTATTGAAGATTGTATATTAAAATATTTTATCTATTAAATTTATTTAAATAGAAAATATAAATAATGATATCTAAAAAATATATATCTATATATATATAAATAATGATATCTAAAATATATATATATATATATAATGTAAGAAATAATAAAATAATAATATGAGGGGTTTATATGTAAAAATAAATAAATATAATGAAATTATTGTAATAATATTTTCTTATTATTATTAATATTATTAATATTATTGAAATTATTCAATTTGCACATGTTTTCAAAGTCACAATCGATTGCGTCACTTAAAATCTGCTTGAATTTGTTCCACGGACAATATTTATAACATCCAGGGATGACATAAGATTCTTCGTTAACTAATACTCGAATAAGTGTTGTACTATACTTTGGTTCCATATCATATCTATTTGTACAATTATAAATCTCAAAGTAAACATTAGATCCAAATGGAATTATTTTACTTGTTCTAAATTTTCGAGAATTAACTTGTAGGAAATATTTATCAGATTTAAGAAGTTGTGTATCCTGAAATAAACCCTACATAAAAAAAAATTATTATATAAAAATTTAATGTTTAATATTAATTATTATTCCTTTTTTTTTCTTATACTCACAAGAATTGTTATAAGAAACAAGATAGTTTCAGCATGTGCAAATTTCAGGGTACTTTTTAATTGAGATTTTTTATCCAAAAAGTTTTCCACAGATTTTATCATATTGGTATAATATTGACATGCCAATTTGATATTAAATGAATTTCCATAAGAATAATAATGATAATAACGTAAATCATGAAAAAATTCTATTTTTAAAAAATCATCTTTTTTTAATAAACTACACCACGTATCAGATCTATCAAAGACTGATACTTCAAAAGAACATGCTCGATAAATATAATCCAAATGAATTGCTTCTAAAGGTGGATTTATTCCTAAACGATCACTGATTCTTTTTGCATTTGGTAAAACATGTATACGAAGAAAAGTATCCAATTGATGTTTCGTTTCCAGATTATTTTTACTTATATTAACCCATATTGGACATGCATGATGCATTAATAACTCTACATCTAAATATTTGAGAAATAATTTATTAATATTATTAATATTATTATTAATTTATTGATATATTTGATATATATTGCATACCTTTCTTCTTTGATACAGAAAATGTATATACAGATTGTAATTTCATTTTACCCAAAGTTCCATATCCTTCAAATAATCCTAAAGAATATGCAATTCCCGATTGTCCAGATCTAGAGATTTAAGTAATTAATATTATTGATCTACAATGTATAATAATAATAATAATAATAATAATAATAATAATAATAATAATAATAATAATAATAATAATAATAATAATAATAATAGTAATAATAATAATAATAATAATAAATAATTTTACCTGGAAATTGCAGAACTTTGAATTTGAACAACATTCGTATCATATGTGATATTTTTCCAAAATTTAAAGTATCGTTTACGTGCCCTTTGACCCAATAAATATAATTCACGTTCACCTCTTGATGTAAGAAGTCCTGCCTCAAATTTATTATATGGATTTCGCTGAATAAAAAAAAAAAATTTTTTTAAAAATTAATTACAGTTGCTTACGTATTAATAGTTTGAAGATAATTGTTTACCCATTCTTTTGCTGGTGTGATATTGAAAAACAGTTCATCTATAATGTCGAATCTTTTAATGTCGCCAGCTGAAGGATATCGTGCACCTATAAATTTATTTATTTTAAAATATTTTTAATTAATTAAAAATATTATAAAAAAATTATTTAAAATTAGTGTTATTGAATCTTACCATGTCGGGAAACTAAATGAAGTTGTGCTAATTCGCACGTTTCTGGTATCTTTATGGGAGTTGCTTTACTAGATATAATTGGATAAAGTCCCTTTGTGCTTAAATGTTTTTTAAAATTGAAACTATCGGATATTTTTATTAAGCATAATAAAATTATGAATAAACTCGAAGAAAACATTTTATCTATTTAAGTTTTATTGTCCAACCTCTGCTTTTGTAATACCTAATAGCAAATTATTAAAAAAAAAAAAAATTTTTTTTTTTTTGAAACAATGGGTGTTCAAGGATCGAAACAAATTCAGAGAAAACTTCCACAGCATGTCGTTTCAGAGGTGAAATCTAGTGCGTTAGAATCACATTCACATTCTCAAGTTTCAGAACCTAATTCCACTTCTCAGTTAGCTAGTACAACACGTAATAAAGGTTGGTTAAAGGCAGTTTATAAAAAATAAAATTTATGATTAAAATATGAATTAAAAAAAAAATATATATGATTAAAAATATAAATAAATATAATCAAAATATGAATCTGATATCAGTTATTGAAAAAGATGGAAAGGACCCTCAGTTGTTAGAAAATTTGTTTAAAATTGGTGAAGTTAAATTATCAAGAGACAATATAAAATTGATTGAGGTAAATTTGTTTAATTCAACACAAAATGTAAAAAAAAAAAAAAATTTTAGTTCTTCTAATTATTATTATTATTGTCACTACCGACCTATCAACTACTTATTCACATATAAAAGTCGGATGAAATGATGAAAATTGTCAGAGGTAGAGAAGCAGAAAAAATATTGAACGAAGGAAATACAATACCGAAAAATCGTGTGACTGTGCAAACTTTACGAGAAATTTTAAACCAAAGAATTATAGCTCCAGGTGAATGGACATTTGAAAAGATATCAACTCATTACAACTTGGATCAAGAAACGATTAAAACTTTGTTGAAATATATAAATACATATACAACTTCTGGAGGTGTTGACCCAATAGCATCGTGGCCTAAATCCAAAGATGATAAAAATACTAATAATAATTAGAAATATATTTAACAAATATTTTCTATTTTTACTAATATTTAATTAATTAATTAATTAATTAGATAATAGTAACTTATCAATTTTCGTCAAATTTGCATTTTTTTAACCACAATTCAAACATTTTGAATCTAAAAATAATATTTAATAATTTAAATATTTATTTTCCTCTTCTAAACCATGCTTTGAATTGATTCATTAATCCAATTGTTGGTCTCTCGTTAGTAATTTCTGAGGAATTCAATTCTGAATTATCACCATCTTTGATCTTTAATTTATCCCCAGAAGTCATTTTTGATGATGAATCTATAATATATGGAACATTTGTTTTTTGATTTTCAATACCATGTTTATTTTGAATTGACATAAATTTTTGTGCTGTTTCCGCATCAAACGCAATTCCAGCTTGGTGAAATTGTTTATTAAGAATATCTAATTTTTCTGATACTTCTTTATCCCCTGCAAGCTTGGCCATTTGCATAAATGAAGGCATTTGTCCGTTACTTAAATCTACACCTTTATTTTTTAAAAGTGTGGCAAATTCGGTAATAGATATCAAAATACTGGGATCTGTACGAATCTTTTTTATAATAGGGTCGTCAGGATCTATCTTCATGTTATTGTCCATACCAAGGGAATTATGGTTTGTGGAATGAAAAAACCTATGAGGACATTGGGGACACATTGGTGGTAAAGTTGACCTTACTGCATTGATAAATGCGTACTTTAGTTGAATATGAGCATTATAAATAAAATATGGATATCTAAAGAGTCGTTGAAGAGACATCCTTAACTACAAGTAATGAATTTTTTGATTGATCACATCTTATTATTTTATCACGTTTTATCATGTTTTATCATGTGCAAAATTTCACGTTCCTTTGTTGACTGCAAGGGTACAGGAAAAAGTCTATACTGGGGCAATGGTCATCACGTTAACGAACAGTCACAAGATCGACAAACTCGAATTTTTAATATTTTTAATGCATTTTTTTACAGGTTGCGAATCAAGTTATCAGAAAAAAAGAACAATTTTTAAACTGTATTCACACGCCAATTACAAGCAATTTTTTTTGGTGAGAATAGGCAAAACAGGCAAGAAAACAGGAAATTCTAAAAAAAAAAAATTAGCCATTTTTCACAGGTTGCGAATCAAGTTATTAGAAAGAAAGAACAATTAGTAAATTTTTTAAACCATATTCACACGCCATTTTCTCTCACGCCAATTACACAATTCCGAAAGGAAATTCCAAAAAAAAAAAATTAGCCTTTTTTTTACAAAGAAAACTGCATTCACACGCTATTTTCTCTCACGCCAATTACACAATTCCAAGTAGATAAGTGTAGTGGGAATATTTTTAAGCCAGAAAAATAACTATAAAAATAACCTCCTTTCTCAATTGTTCATTATTTATGAAAAACTTACTTAACTAGTCTCCTCGTTTAAACATTATTTCCTAAATTTTGGTGCGTTTGTAACATTCCGACATATTACACGTTGCTCCATTTGAATGTGTATATAATTATCCCTTCGGTGGTACGTAAGGTCCCATTGTTTCTTCCTGGGCCTAATTACGTAAAAAGTCCAATGTTCCTTTGTGGGCTTTCATTATTAAAGCAATGGTTCCAAAAGTTTTGCATCTTCAAAATCCAAAATCGCCCGCAATGCAAACTGTACTTAACCTGAAATAAGTGTAACAATTTCTCGACACTTTAGACCGTTGACATTACCACAAAGATAGCAAGATCTTCTGGCGCCGAGTGGTGCGACTTCGGGCGTAATATTACATAAAAGCCTTCGTGGCAAAAAAAAAAAAAAAAAAAAAAAAAAACTATATAAATACAGTTCGTGTGCAATTTTGTAAGTTCTCCGTGAGGAATGGTTTATGCTGTAAATCCTCCCCCAGAGGAATGGTTTATGCTGTTAATTCTCCCCAGCCTGCTAAAAGTCAAGTTATATACTCCGATAGAGGGAATGGTTTATGCTATATACTCCAAAAGAGGGAACGGTATATGCTACATACTCCGATAGAGGGAATGGTCTATGCTATATACTCCGATAGAGGGAATGGTACATGTTATATACTCCGAAAGAGGGTTTATGCAGACCGATTTCGACTTTTCCTACCTCCCTAGTCTATCCCCCACACGCAAATCAGCAATTGACATACAGTCCGGTGCAAAAGTCTTTGGACGAAAATCACTAAAATAGAGTAACCTCGTTACCAATAATCAATTATTGACGAAGTCTACGGGGAGTTTGACCCTCTTATCAAAAAAAAATCAGAGACCTAATTGGAAGTTAGGATTTTGAGAGAAAATTTGGAATTTAAATGTACAATAAAGATTCCTTAATGTAAATATTGTGAATTTTCTTTAACCAATACATATAGTCCTATTTCTAAAAATCAATTTTTTGGGGGGGTTTTTTGATCCAATCCGTCCTGACTATTGGTGGTAGAAGGATTTATCTTAACCGTTTTTAGTTTATTTTTTTATTTACAGTGGTGTGAAAAAAATGACAATTTTAAAAATCATGTTATCTCGATGATTAGCAAATCAATTAAAATGTATTTTATATCATTTTAAAGCCGAAAATCGGCAGATTTTATTAATAAAAATTAATGACCATTTTTTTCAATAATCTCTTTACAACGTTGTGGCATTGAATTTACAAGATTAATTAGAACACTATTTGGAATTTTTCCCATTCACCCAAAAAACTTTCTAATTCGGTAATATTTTTTTGGTTTACGTAACTCCACGTTCCTCTCAACGATTGCCCAAAGATTTTCAATAGGATCCGGTCTTGCTCCTTTGTACCATGTTTCGTCACTAAAAAGCGTTTTTTTCAGTCATCATTATGTTTTTGTGCCCATTCGACACGTTTTTCTTTATGAGCAGATGTGTGAGCGTTGGTGTACTAAGAGGAAGAGAATTCCGGTAACCAAGGTCGGCCAAATGTCTTGAAACTATTGACCGGGAGACATTTATTCCAATATCTTCTAATTTAGAAGCAAGAGTCCCCGCGGAAATTGATTTGTTGCCTTCGAACATACTGACCAAGAGCACGAGTTGCCGCCGGCGTTATTTTTTTGATACGTCCATATTCCCTTTATGCTTGACGTCGCCAGTTTCTTTTGTTTTTTTAGGTTTCAATAGATAGTTTTAAGTGGAATTTTTGTCAATTTGAATATTTCGGCAGCTTTAGTTATTCCTTGCCTCCAGAAATGTAATATGGTTTGTCGTTGGGTTTCTTGCTTGGAAGGTGCCATTTTCAACGCTTGTAAAAATATAATTTTTATTATGTGAGAAAATTTTTTTTATCACTGGACGATCAAGCAATCATATGGCTTTTATTTGTGTATTAGTTTGTGTAATTTCTGCCAAAATCTGGTTAGTTACACTTGTAATTTTGTTATAAATAAAAAAAAGACCTCTTCATGAAAGCGGAATTAAGAAATTGTGCGCCAAATGTTTTCAATGTTTACTTTTTTTCATTCTTACTACTTTCCAAAAATTCTTTAACCAGTGTGATGTGATTATGAATCTGGTAATTATTTGTATATATTTTATTTTACTTTAACAAATAATAAGTAGGTAGGTTGTTTCGATGACTGGTTTTTTTTAGGTCCCTTCCCAATATTATTAATGAATTTCGGATTGGCACGAAAAAATATTCGAGAAAAATTTCGTTCAATAGATTTTTAATAATGATGATACAATCATTGATTTTTCCCAAGTTATGATTTCTTTTTATCATTAGACCAACAATATAAAATCACCAATCATATTTACTACTAACACTTTACCTAACGTATATCTGATATTTCCGCTTTCCTTAATTTTTATTTTTGCAAACGAAATCATCTACAACATCTACAAACTGTTATCTAGAACTTGTTTAGTACATTTGATCGTTTTTTTTTAAAGGACTGGTCTCGACCTATTCATTTTTTTGGTTAATTAAATTACAGTCAAGTGCATATAGAAAGGAATACATACTTGATTTTTAGTGAACATATCGATAAGTTTTATAGTTCATTTGGATTAGGTTCGTTAAACTATCGATTTGTCATGGTGACTGTGTGGCTATGCTGGGTTACATTCTTGAATAATTACTTTTCTTTTTGCATTTTTTAATTAATGTCAATATTGCTGGGACATTGGTTTCATTTATGTGATTGATCTTATAATTTCAAGAAGAAATACAATTACACCTTGTTTAATAAGTGAAGAGTAAGTATAATATTATCATTTTATATTAGCTAATATATTATTATTTTTTTAAAAAAAATAGATTAATAAATATTATTATTTACTTTTTCAACATTGTCTAATGAGTTTTTGATAGTTTTATTAGACTTATTCAAATTAAATTTTTGAGATTTTATTATTATTCAGGTTTAACATTCTTTAAAAATACTACAACTTTGAACTCCAGATTGGATAGAAAGATTATATACCACATATCCAAATAATGAATGAATATTATACTTCTAAATTAATATTTTATAATTAAACTCTATTTTTAATTTATATTTTTGAATTTTTATCGATTTTAGGCCGGCATTATAAATTTGGCCAGAATTATGAAAATTTCGGTCAGAATTATGAAAAAAAGATTACCGATTTTTAACAAATACACGATCGATTTTTGTTTATTTAACGTGTTGTTTAAATTATTTGGAATTTGGAATTTTGACATTTATAGTATTTGAAACTTGAAATTTGAGATTTTGGTAAAAAATACTAATTATAATTTATAATTTGGAATTTTATTATTATTTCTATTATTTCTCAGATCTATATACACAGTTCTATTTGTATATCATTCACAAATCTTCTCAACTATTTGCATATCATCACAAATCTCTGTTTATTTGTATATTATTCACAAATCTTTTTGTCTATTTGTATATCTTCCTGTTTACTTGTATCAAAAATTTTGTTTATTTTTCTTTATTTAACTAGTGTATACAAAATTATTGAATTGAGTTAGATGTAATTAAAATTGAAAAAAAATAAATTGTTAAATAAAATTTTTTAATTTAGATGATATGTATAAACCAATAATATATAGTAGGTTCTGTTGTTGCTGTTGTTGTTAATTCCATAATATTAGATTATGTACTTTTTTATATCCATATATAAAATAAATATTTTAAAACTTTTCAAAATTCAAAATGTTCAAAAATTCAAAATCAATTTTGAAAACATGTATAGTATCCACCTGTCTATTTACATATCTCCTTGTCTATTTTTCTTCATTTAACCAATGAATAATTCATTAACAAATTGTTTTGTAATAGGATAAATATATTCATTTAATTTTTTAAATGAAACTTCTTTGACTAATAAATTTCAAATATATTTTGATCAACTATCAACTAAATTTGCACAAGTAATAATTAAACTATTACCAAGTCTTTTAAATATTATTTCACAAAACCAATTTGGAATTTGGTGAATGTGAAATAGGTATTTATTTCTTTTATTAAAGAATGCACAAAATGTAAAATTAAAAACAGTCAAGTTTCAAGTTCATTAAAATAATTTTATTTTATACACATATATGATGTCAATGGTTTTAGGACATTTTCCATTCTATTATAAATTTCTAATGTTAAATGTATACATATAAATAAATAAAAAAGAAGTATATTTAATACCTTAAATTTGAATTAGTATAAATTCCACTCTTTCCAAGCTCATCAATTTTAATCTTGGTTTAGCTCCTCTGTAAAATTATCTTTATTTTCAGCATTTAAAATTACTATTTGAAATAAACAACTTTGCATTAATACATGAAAACATGAAATAATACTCTATATGACTCACTTATTTTGAAATTTTATTAATAAATATCAAATATGAACCATAAATATATAAAAATAACTAAACCATGTGTAAACAAAGAAAATATGTTTCGTAGGCGGAAATAGTAACTACGGGATAATCAAACGAACTCTTGTTGACTATTGTTTTGTTCAGAGAACAAGTTAAACCAGTGAAACCAAACTTTATTAATTTGCAATTATGAATTTTTACAAAAGAACTATTTCCAAGCTCTTTGTTTCTACATTACTTCTTGTCTCAAGGCCTAAACTTAGTATTGTACTACTAATTAATTAATTAATTAATAATAATAATAATAATAATAATTAATACCGAATTAATATTAACTATAAATATAATAAATATAATATTAAATAAATAAATAAAATAGAATATATTTTTATTCCACAATCATTTCGACCTTTTATTGTCGAACTCCCGAAAGACTTTCGAATTCCGTTATATGTCTTGTTCGGCCATGAGTTTCTTAAACTAAAATTAACAGTTTGTTAAATTAAAATAGGAAATTTTGGATGAAACGAATTAATAATATATGATTTTATTTTACCAATTCACACTGTTTAAAAACGGCAAGATCCGAGTTCAAAGGTTTATCTAAGTAAGGAAGGCCTTCCCATGATATGACTAATGGGGCAATTTGATTACGTATAGCCAGTTTATCTTTATGAGTACCACTTTGTGCAGGATTAAAATTTTGACATTTGCTAAAAATAAAAATAGATAATAGATATATATGAATTAGAAACGTCGTTGATTTTTATACAATAAAAGTAATTACTTACGCTTCACTTAACGAATAAGATTTTTTCAAATGTTCCTTCAAGTACATTAAGATAGCCATACAAATAGAGACCTTGGCAGCATAAGAAATTGATAAAATATTATCTAATGTAGATTATAATATGATAATATTATTATGTTTTAAGCAATGAATATACAAATAGTAGATTAATGTAGATTAATTAATGCCGCTCACCTTTCTCAGAATATGTTGTATCTTGTGTTGGCGTTTCATATTGTTCAAATTTCGATTCAATTCCAGTTTGCGATGATTTCGACGAAGCCTCGTAAAATATGGTTTCTGTCGGTTTATTTACATCCACAACTGCGTCATTGGTTGAAGATGTATTTGATTCCGTAAAATTTTCAGGAATTTTGTTCTCAATGTAAACTCGAACATTATCCAAAATCAAATCTCCCGAATTATCCAAAACCATATTATTAAATTGTGTATTTTTTTGGATTGAATGTAATACACTAATTGCAACAACCGATAGGACACGATTGATTAAATAAATGACATGAAGAACTTCCTCTATGGTTTTATAATCAATTGTGGCTAAATTTTCAGCAACAAATTTGCAGAAACCAATGTCCACCTTATATTTTGGTTTTAAAAAATATATTTTTTTACGTAAAACCACTTAAATAAATTTTATAACTTATTATATAACTAAAATTTTAAATTAAAATACCTTAGTTTCCTCACACTTTTTTAAGTCAAAATCGAAGGTTTTAACAACTGAAATGAGAAAATCATTACGAGATTTTCTTTTATCTTTTAAGAGAGAATACATTGAATTGAGTAAAGCTTCTGGTGGTTCTTCTTGAGAATGTATAGCATATCCTATATTGGATAAAATTTAACAATGTCAAAAATGTCGATTTGGAAAATTGATAAAGTATTTTATAAACTTACCGACTACGGGTTTTCCATTAGCTATTTGCTTTTGAAAAGCGTACGCTTTCCTAACACAATCTACATTTCGAGAATGTATTAAAGATGCATGCTTTTCATTTAAATGTTGATGCAATTTAAACGCCTTGTCACGTATATTAGATTCAGGGCTAGTTTCCATAGCAACAATAGTAGGCATGCACTAAGATTAAAATGAGACATTATTGATATAATCTTAAAAATTACAACGAAAAATCAAAGATGAAATAAAAAAGAAATTCTCTCACCAATACGGGATGCGCTAAACCTTGTTGAATGATGTTACCTAAAACATCCAATGCAACAATTTTCAAACTTTGTGTTTGATCAAAAGTGCATTCTAAGATCCGATCTAAGTATCTCTGCATTAAAGAACTGCTTACCCTATTTCAAAATAAATGATTAATCAGGTTAATAAAAAAAATTTTTTTTAAATCTAAAAATAATTTTTAAACATACCCAGCTTCCGCAAATTCATCAGCATTCCCTATTAATACCTTTAAATCGACGGGTATGTTTTTTTTATTTTCTAAAAAAAAAAAAAATATAATAATTAGATTAAAAACATTTTTTCATATTTTTAATATATGATTTAAATACAATACTTTTATCTTCTAAATCTGAATTAATTTTTTGTTGCTCAGCCACCAAAAAATCCAAAAATACTTTCATCAATTGTATTTTCATGTCCATTGCACCAGTATTTAATATACGATCCATCAAATCAGTACTTTCTGGTCTTAACATTATTATTGGATATGAAAGGTATATAAACCCTGTTTATGAAATTTTTTAGCAAAATAATTTAAATAATCAAAAAAAAAAAAATTATAAAAAATATGAGATATCTTACCTAAACTTTGTAATGCCATTTTTTGAACCATTTCTGATAAACCATCTTTACAGAAATATAATACTAATTGAAAAATAATTGCTACTATAGGTCCCTATTAATAAAAAAAAATAGTTTAATTTCATGTTCATAAGAATAAAAATAATGTATAAGGTATATCTCGTTTCGAACCTTATCTATAGTATTTAAATCTTTCATTTTTTCTAAAATGCATGCAAAAAAAATTTTTATATTTGGTTAATTAATAATTAATTTGAAATATAAACCAGCAAAATTGTTCCAATATCAAACCTGGTTGTTCCGCTCTCTTTTTATCGAAATCAAAGTTTTTGCACAGTAAACCAATAATTAAAAGTAATACCATGACATTACGAGCCGAAGATAACACTTTTCCAATCTCTAACTGTTTTTTTTCTAATTTAAGCTTTTCTGAGATTTGGATAGATATCAATTAAAATAAGTTTATAAAAAGAAATTTAATAATTTATTTAGTAATAAAATTAGTTGAATAAACGATTAAAGATTAAGATTACCAATACAAGAACGTAAAAGTTTTGTCAATCGTGCATAATTGAAGGTTAATTTATCAATTATAACGCAAAGACATGGCACTACTTCTTGGAGAATCTAAAAAAAAAAGCATTTAAATAATAATCAGAAGGAGCATATTTAAGTAATAATAATGTTTTTACAATATACTTTTTGAGGGCTCTTGGTCAACAATCCTATAAGTGCTGTTTCTAGTTCGTTTAAGAAAATAGGATTTGGTCGTTTAAGAAGAGGAAGTACGTTTCGATAAATTATCAAAACATAATATAATATCGATTGATCATCTGGCTATAAAATTTTTCTGGAATTAATAATATTAAATAAACAATCCTCTTTCCTCCCTCCTGAATTAGCAAATCTCTTACCGTACTAGCGCTTTTTAGATAAGGTTGTAAGGTAACTACATGATTGGCAACAAGCGTTGGCGAAGCACTGCTTAAAAGACATATTGTACTGATACAACTTACAACTTCTGACTAGTTGTTAAAAAAAAATTTTTTTTAATTATGATAGAAAATTTATTTATTTTATTGTAGATAAATTTGCCTTTAATTACCTTTGAATTAGAATCTTGAAGTGTCAATAAATGTTCAAAAAGACAATCCACTATACATTGACATATATTTAATACTTCTCGCCTTTGTTTATCGTCCTTTTCTAATACCTATGTTTTTTTTTCAATTTTTTAGTTTAGTTTTAACGAAATATTATCAAGGAAAAAAAAACATAAATTAATTACTTAATTAACCTTTTTAAAAAAACCACCCATAACGTGTCCATTTCTTTCACCAAGTCGTCCAGCAACTCCAACAATCAGTAAACTTCTTGACAAAACTTCCTTTTTTCCAACAGCAGACATATAATTGAATTCGCTTTGTCTTTCATCTTCATCTTCAAAACCATCCAAGTGAACATTAACATTTTTTTGATGTTTAAACAGCGAAAGCCACAATTCTTGAACTGTTTTAAGAGCTAATTCCTATATAAATATGTTAAATATTAATTATATCAACTTTAATTAAATTAAATTTAATAATCTAATATGATTATTGTTATTAATGATATCCTACTTTGACATGATCATCGTCGTCATTTATACGCATAAGAATTTTACAACCAATATCAATCATCATGGATTGATCAGCACTTTTAAGGTATATATCACGAAGTAATTTTATAACACGTTTACGCACATTGAGACCAGTATCCTTTAATATAATATAATATAATGTAATGTAATTTAATGTAATTTAATGTAATTTAATGTAATTTAATGTAATAGAACGTGTTGATATGTTAATAAAATAGGAAAAAACCAAAACAGTTAAAAATTTCGATATATAAAAATGACAAATTTAACTTACTAATACTCGGTCACTGATCACTCTATAATATTGTTCGGTAATTTCGGGTTTTTGTGATAGATATCGACCGACAAGATCAATAGCCGCATCACGAACAGCTGGAGAATTATCGGAAAGCCTTTGAGCAATTGTTTGACGGACATTGACCTTGAAATTTGAAATTATTTAAATTATTTAAATTGTAGTGACAAAAAAATTGCTCATAAATTGAATAAATTTAATAAATTGAATAATATATAAATTAAATAATGATAATTACTTGACTAAGAATATTAGGGTCGCATACTACTACTTGTCCTAGAGCTCTTAGGGCTTTTGTTCGGAAAGCAACTACGCCTGTATCCAAAGATACCAATATTCTAGATAAAATTGAATCAAAGTTTTGATAAAGTGACTGTCTTGTGGCAAGAAGTTCAGTAATAAGAAGAATATCTGATCTCTCGATTCCTTGTGATCTAGAGAAATGTTAAAAATGTCAAAAAATACATATATAAACAAAAAGTATTCATTTGTGAACGAAAATACAAACCTCTGCTCGAGACTTTGTATTATATGATCATCAGATGAAATTTTCCAGTATTCGACAATAATTTTATCTAACAACTTTTTTATGATTTTTTCTTCTTTATCCTCTTCATTTTGGTCCGAACGTTTTTCATTAATTAATTGAAGGGTATTTGCGAGTGAGTACCCCCATTCCGATAAATAAAATTGACGTGCGCACTAAAAGACAGCAATAAAAATAATTAATCGAGATAAAGTTGAGCGAAATGAAATACATTTTCATATTTTCATCTTTGTACCTGTACACCAGGATCTTCCGTAGCACCAATTTCCAAAAAATTTAACACTGCCTTTTGACATTCACATAGATTTTTGATTGATTGTATTCGGGTATGAGTCGTTATCTAACATGTTATAATCCATTATATAAATATCATATATAAAAACGCGGATATAGATTAAATATAAATTACAATTTCTAAAAGTTAATACCTCTCCTTTGGGAATGTCCTTAATTTTATATAGCCAGTCTCTTTCATCTTTATCTCTCCAATTGTCTCCCGAAGATTCATCAGACAGAATACCAGAATTAGTAAATTTTTTGATACGTCCGGCTATTGTTCCCAAATAATCTATGGCCATTGATTTCGTATATGTATCGGCTTTTTTATCATTAATATAACCAATCTAAGAAAGATATTATGAGAAATATAATAAAAAAAAAAAAAATACTAATCTAAACAATTTATATCAAATATGTACCATTATTTTATTGAAAATGAGAACTATCATTTCTGCTGCTGGCCATTCCGGATAATTCAATACTGTAATTACATCTTCCATGAAATTGTCCAATAGGATACGATATTCGGATTCGTTAGAATTTTTAACAGTTTTAGTGCATCTATTTATTTGCTAAAGAAAGTGAATAAAAATAGTATCTAATAATTATGATTTACAAAAAAAAAAAAAATTTTACCTCGAAAGTAAGAATTTGAATACATAGCCAACATTAGTACTAGCTGCGTCTATTCCGATTTTCCATACACCACCACACTAGAACATGAGAATTAATACAACTCACATAAGAAATAACACACAAATGAGTATCTCAAATAATTGTTTTAAAGGAAAAGAAATAAAACCTTTCTCAATCCATTTTGATCTTTATTTATATCTCCCTCAAGACCCTTTGCATCTCGTTGGTCATCTATTGTTTTGCAATTGATATGGTTTGTTCCCGCTGTACAACTTTGGACTAGTTGCAAAATAAGTGCAGAAACCATTTGAATAGATTTACCATCGGGCAACCTTCAATCAAATCAGATATTAGAAAGTAATTTTTTTATTATTATTATATTTAGAAAATATTTGATTAAATAATTTAGCGTGCTTGCCTATATTGCCTCAAATTTCGTTTAGCGGTTGGTAACTTTATAAGAGAAGTAAGAATTTCTTCTAATATCCATGTACGTTGTTTTTGATGTTTTGTGAATATCTACTCAAACCAGTTAAATTAGGGTAAAAATCTTATAATATCAAATTTTAGTGTTTAGTCACAAAAAAATTTCTCACCAATCTTAATAATCCAAGCGCAACAAGTTTTACCACTTCGAGGCCATTTCCAAATATAGAATTGTTATTACCACTCATAGAGTCAACGAAAAATGGTCCAATAGAAATGAAACTAACAGTTATTACAATTGCATCAGATAATTCTTCCTGATGCATCAGGTCATATAATTTTTGTAAATAATTAGTAACAATTGGAAGGATGCCTGCTAACTGACGCTTAAGTCGAGAAGTACAAAGAAAATAAAAACAAAGAATAAGTCAAGGAATCTTAATTATTAAATAATGACATATAATCAAATTTTTTTTTCATAAATGGTTTTTAAAGGATATTGTTTAAATATTTCCTTCAGATAGGAATCAGTTTCGTCTGTAAGTGGATTAAAAATCATTAGACTAACGACTAATATCTTAGGATCAAAAGAAAAATTAGAAATCATAACAACATACTATTCAAAGTGTCATCTGAAACATTCATTTCAAATATACGATAAACTACTCCCACCAGCTGACTCTTTATAAGATTAAGACTTGAAGTAATTAAATCTTCAGGATAAAGCTATATTCCGATCATAAAAATCAATTACAATAATAATTAATTAAAAATAATTAATAATAATTAATAATATTTTTAAGATATTACATATTATATAGGAATTTACCTGCTTGCTTAGTTTTCCACCTGTCATTATTGAGAAAGCTGCAATTGCGGCTTCAATTCCGCTGATTATCTTTTCAAGTTTATCTTCAATTTCTTGTATATATGAATTATCTTTGTTCATTTTATCATCACCATCATCTAAGTTCATCGAGTCAAATTCATTTTGTTTAATATGTGACCCTGATAAGGAAGCAGATTGACCATTAGGAGGAAGAACGTCATAAGTCTCGACTTCTCGCACCGATCTTTCTAGAATCTTTAAAAGCCGTGATAAATCATCTATATCCGCATCTTCAAGACGTTTGTAACGACTCACTTTCCCAACAAGCTTTGTGAGTTGGCGAATGACTGTTGATGAAAGTAAGGGTTCATTCGAATTTATGCTAGAAGGAACGAGAAGTGAGGTCGAATTCGGAGAGTATGTACCCGATGATATTTCGGAAATAATAGAATCTTCGGCCTCGAATATTGTATTTATATAATTAATTAATTTGTTCAAAGCACCTAAATGCAAAAAGAAAAATTAGAAAATATATGATGAAATTTTCAACTAAAAATGAATTAACGTACTTTCGCCGTTTCGTTCTTCGTCCCTGTCTCTTTCCCTTTGTTTTTTGAATTCTTGGCTTGTTTTTCTTTGAGAAATGTTACGCAAGTCATCCGTTGAACGATATTCCGCCAATACATCACGTGATGGAATTTCGATAAAAACTTCGGGGGAAATAAGGCGCTTTGTTACATCATTCGTTTCATTGGTTATAATGACTTTTGGTGATAACAACAACTGATTTTCATATATTTGAGATGGTGAAGGATCCGGATTTTTTTGTGGATCTTCTGACTGCAATTGTACGTTTTGTACTTTTTGTACGTTTTGTATGTTTTGTATGTTTTGTATGTTTTGTACGTTTTGTTTCTTTGAAGGTGATCCTTCAATTATTATATTTGAATTTGACATAATGTCCGATTTCGTACACAGTTGAGGAATTTCATTTTCGTTAAAGAATTCTGGATATCTCTGAGGTTGTGATAGAGAATCCATCCCTGATATTTGATAAATATTACGATTAAATCCCATTGTATTATCTTGAGGCATTATGTCCATGACTTGTGTGAATTGTCTTTTTTGCGGAACTGAAGGTTGTGGACAAAACGCATATTCGAATGAAGGTTGTGGAAATGGAACTGAGGGACTTTTAAATCGACTGATCTCATTAAAAAAAACAAATAATTAATTAGAAACGTTTAACTTATATTTCTTGTTTAATTATTTTAATTATGTGTAAGCGATCAAAGTAAATTTAATAAATATATCAATCAAAAGCAGATATTAAATATTAAAATTACTTACACGTAACTCACATCTACTTGATTTAACAAATTCCTAACTGCATGTAGTTGCTGTTGTAAAGTTAAATCTGCAAATTGAGAAGATGCTTGATTTTCCAACATATTAGCAATTCGTGCATACTCTGGCTCCGCTGTGTTGCAGGTAGAAAATTCTTCAAATGCTATAGAAATTGAGGGTATATCTTTCATAACTTTTTTTAAAATTTTTAATTATGGAGATAAAAGCTCATTAGAGGGTAAAAACGAGACTCTTCGAGACATTTTGAATTTATCTCGATAGAAAACGAACCCAAATAATGAATTTGAAAAAAAAACCTGCAGAAGCTGGTGTCAGCGAAGTCAAGGCTGTATACTGTAACGTGGATCGAACATCACTTGGAGCGGGAAGGAGACTTGACCCGGTTGTTATTTCGTTACCGAGCAGTTCTCCACCAGAATTATTCATCGTTTAATTACGTGGTTACAGGAAATCTCGGAAATTATATTTGACAAATACGCTTCCTATGAGATAGAACACTTGAAGAGAAATAAACCGCCAAGAAAAAAGCGGTTTTTATCATGTGACACACGAGAACTAGGTACAAAATTGATGTTCGAACCTATACTTTATAGTCCCTGTTTACTAAATCTGACAAATGTGTTCGATATGAAGAACGCATGGAACCATCAACACAAGAACTACCAGAATCTTTTAGTACTCAAAAAACCGATGAGTAAATTGTCTTATTACTTTTTATTTTACTTACCATAATATTAACGATTAAATACAAATATAAAGATTTATATATTTATTTAATTATTTTATTTTAGTGCGTCGAATATTTTCCAACCAGATGAGTCACCTACAACAATGACCAAGACACCAACTTATGAATATTATGGATTTGTTCTTTACTTGTTATCATTCATAGCATTTGGTAAATAAAACAGTGATTCTTAAGATTTGAAATTTTATATTTAACCATTTTCTTATAATTTTATAATTTAGTAATTTACTTATTATGGGCATACTTGCCAGATGATGTTTTAATATCATTGGGAATAACTTATTATCCAAATAGGTAAATTACAAAATATAATTTTATTTAATGTAATTTTTTTTGTGATCTAATCTTTATTACAAATGCAGATATTGGGCAGTTGCATTACCAGTTTGGTCTTTTGTATTTGTGCTTTTCATATTTGTTGCATTTATTTCAATAAATCTTTATAACACAGCTCCTCTTGATTCATTCAATACAATAACAGGTATTTTGATTAATTTTTTTATTAAAATTTTCTTAATTGAAACTAAAGATACCTGTGACAATTCTACAACATTTTCTTTTTTGAATTATGTTAAGTAATTGAAACTAATAAATATTTTTTCTTCTATATTTTTAAGATGATCAATCTATTGTTAAACAAAATTTTTCACAACTTTCAGAAATTACAGATGATTTTGTACCAGAATTACATGATATACCAATTGGTATAGTTAATGCTTGTTTATATCAAAAGATAAAAGAAAAATAATCAAAATTTTTTATAAATTTTTTAATTAATATTTAATATTATAACTATATTTCTGAATTTTAAATTGTATTGAATAATTAAAATTATTTTTTTTCAAATTTTTAATTTAATAAAAGTTTTTAATAGAATTAGATAATTATATTAAAAAATTTTATAAGATATAATATTTATATTAAAAATAATAAATACTAAATTAATTAAATCAAAAAATATATAAAAAAATTTAACAAAAAATATTTATTTTTTTGAATTTTAATGTTTAAATAAAATTTTAAAAAATTTTGTAAATGTTATGAAATTATTAATTAATTTTTATAAAAGGTTCAAGTTCTTAAATAGATTTTATAAATATATAGATTTTATTATAGTTATTAAACTTAATTATTATAAATAATCAATATTTCTAAGTTATTATATAAGCTGATTTGATTTCACTAAATATTTATTTTATTTTATATAACATTTCAAAAAAAATATTATTTATTAATTTATTTTACATATTATTAATTTAATTGTACTTTTAAAGAAAATTAAAAAACAAATAATTAAACAGCAAGGAACACGAACAGATTTTTTTTTTGTTAATCTATTTTATGTTTTTTTTTTATATCTTCAGTTTACAAGTTTTAAAATTAAAATCACTAAAATTAATAATATTTTGATATATATCTGAAATCAATATTCAGGAACACATCTAGAAAAAGTATTTTTTCTTTTTTAAACTAGTCTCTAGAACACAAATCAAAAAAACTAAATTTCAAATTCAAATTGAATACCTATTGGATACTTGATAACTGTATTGGTTTTGTTAAATTTTGAATATCTTTTGGGTATCCGATAAGTAGATAATATAAAATTTTAAATTATCTATTATAAATATTATAAAAAATTGTATAATATTTTTATAAAATTTTGTAGAAATTTTTGAAACAAAAAATTGTATAAATTTTTACAAAATTTTTTTACAGATGTTTAATTTAAAACACGAATAACTCTGCGAATATTAATACTACTGAAATGAAACACATATTATTCTATAGTCAAGAATCAGATATTTTTTTTTTATTTTAAAAATATTTTAGTAGAAAATTGTTCTATATCTCACGAATCATAAGTAAAGTTAAAAAAATGAAAAAAAATATAAATAAAAATTTGTACAAATTTGTATAAGTATTGAAAATTTGTGTAAATTTTTATTTAATAAAATTTTTTGATACATATTAGATTATATATAAAATTAGTAATTATAGTTACATATAAAGTTTTAAACTTATAATTAAATCATAAAAATATTACTAAGTAAATTATAGTTAAGAACTGTTAAATAAAAATTAGACTTAAAGCTCACAAATTGAAGAAAAATCAAATATTTAAATTATAAATGAATATTCAAATTTAAATATTTTTCTTTCCTTTAATTTGTGAAATTTAAGTTTAAAATTTTTTTAGTAAGTTTATTTAATTCTCAGCTATAATTTTATTTAGTAATATTTTTAATATTTTATTAATAAAAAAAAATTTTATTAATTTTTGATTATTTGACCAATAACAAATGCATTATTGAATTTAATTAAAAAATATAATATATCATATATATGAATTTGTAAAATATAGAAATTCACTATTGCAATAAATAATTAATAAATTTATTATATATGTTGAAAATATTGAGTTTTGCCTATAATTAATTTATAATTACAATACAGTTAATACTTAAACCAAATTCAATTTTTATTTGATTTTGTTCTTAAATTATTTTTTTAAAAATATTGTATTTTGAGAGGTTAAGAGATATATAATATAAAAATGGAAAAGATATATATTTTATTGTATATTTGTTCATAATATAAAATGAAAATGTAGAATAAACCTCATTGTTTTATAGTAAAAAAGGTAGTTATATAAATTTAAATATAGTATTTATGTATAAATTACTTATATGGTTATATTATATATAATTACTTATGACAATTAATAATGAAAATATGATCCTCTTTAAAATATATCAGGTATATAAAATAGTAATTGTTTTATATTTATTACAGATTAGATATAAAAGATATATTATATCAAAAAGAAATTTTAATTTTAACTAATTATAATATAAAATACAATAGGACAACCAATTGTTACTAATTTTTAATAAATCTATAGTATAGGAATTATCATTTGATACAGTGATTCTTTTGTATTTAACTAGTTTATTATGACATAGCTGTATTTTGAAAAATTATATATATGTAGGATTTTTATATTTTTATAAATAAAATATTAGTATGAGTTTATATAATGAAAATTTCTTAATAGTTACTGCTATTTTAGCTAATCTCACAAAATAATCTTCAAGTGTTATATTATATCCCTCTAATATTAATATAACTTTTTTAAAAGAAAAAAACAAAATGAAATATTTTTAAATAATTAAAAAAATTATGTTAACTAATAATTTGAGTACCATATTCATTAGTTAACAAATGTTAATAATTATAGTTTATCTATTAATTAAAAATAAATTAGATAAATAATTATAAAAATATCATAAATAATAATAAATAATTATTAATTATTTAATAAATTAAATAATAAATTATAATTTTTTAAATACTTACATCTTTTAAAACTTGTTCTAAATATAATATATTTTTAATGTATTCATAAATAGTTATCTATCTAGTTTTACAAAATGATTTAAATCTTCCACTTGTAATATTTTTATCTTTGATTATCTTTCTTATTTTAAATTCAAATAATATTAAAAAAGAAATAGATTAATAAAAAATATCTTACAAAATTAACAAAAATATAATTTATTAATCAGTTTAATAAGAAGTTTTAAAAAAAAGTATATAATATATTACAGTAGCAAATTAAATGTTTTGCAAATTCATGCTTAATTATATCTTGTAACATCAAATTAATTGCATGTACAATATATTTGATATTAAATATATATAGATATAATTGAATGATTTTTTCATGGGCAAGTCTAATATTAGTACTATTATCATTAACAATTGTAGAAAATCAATTAGATCCAACTTCTTCTAAAACAATTTTTATTTTTTCTACTAAAAATTTTTCAGTATATAATTTATTAGAAAAATTATACAATTAATACAAATATTCTTTATGCTCAGGTATCATAATAATGAAATTTCAATATAAATGATTTTTTTTTACTATTCTAACTATCTAAAGCTTAAAAAAAATAAATTAATTTTTGTTGAAATACAAATGTATATTAAATATTAAATTATACAGTACAGAACCTTTATAATAGGAACTTAGAAAATCTTAAATAAAATTTAATCCAATGTTCAGATTTCTTTTATATTATAGTATTTGAATATATACATTTAAAGAAATCCATTTAAGGAAAAAAAAATTTCTAAAATTTTCTTGATTTATGTAAGTATTATATAATATAATTTTAATCAATAAAAATTCAGAAAAATATATTCATGTGTTTATATAAAATTATAAATTTCATTTTTTTATTCTTAAACTTTTGTCAATAGTACTTTAACAAATACAAAATATCTAAAATCATTAGAAATTCTTTTTTAAAGTAAAATTATAATAGTTAACTATTTTTAGTATATTTTCAAATTTGATAGGTATAATTAAATACAGGAATTTTAACTTCAGTAAAAGTTAATCAATTTAAATTAGATTAAAATTTTAATCAATAATTCTGAAAATTTAGATTTTAAACTATCAATTTCTACAGTTAAAATTTTATTTTTATATATTGTGACACCTTAAATAAATATTTTTATCTTTTATCTATTTTTAATTTTTTTATTTGTATTATTTATAATTATAGTTAATTTTATAAATCAGTAATATGAATTAGAAGTACTACATTTAAGGATTATCATTGTTAATTTATCTAAATATATACTTAGGTATAATACCTAGAGAAATACTCAAGTAGGATACCTGGGAATAGATAATGAAATTACCTTTGATAATATTATTTATATCACTTGATAAAGAATCAATCTAGTGTAGAGAATAGTATAGTTTGTTTGTAGTACAAAGGGTACCAAAAAGATATAAATACAGGTCTCTTTAGTTTTAATTTTTCATCAATTAGTTAAAGTTCAGTTTAGTTTTAATAGTTCTTAAGTTTCATATAATATTTAAACAGTTTCCTAATTTATTCTATTAATAAATATTATTCTTTTTGTTATTTCTATATACTTATCTTTTATTATTTATTATTATATATCTTATACATTTCTTATATTTCTTGTATTTATTTTAATAAAGTTAATATTAAAATAAAGAAATCATATAATTTATTAACTTTGAATTTTTTACACATATACCTTGCTAAGTCACAAACTAACTTGATATTGTAAAAACTTTATCACAATAAAGAATTTACTCCTAAGTTGACTCTCTTCTCTAACTCTGTAATTTGTTATAATTGATCAAGTAGGATTATCAGAAATAACACAATAATTACATAACCTTTTGTTAATTTTTATTAGAGAAGATTTTTTATCTTTCAAAATATTATCACATTGGATATATAATAATATAGTAAATGAAATTTTAATGTAAAAAGATTAAATAATTTTTATTATAACTAAGTTCCTATTATAAAAGTTCTGTATTGTATAAATTACGAGTTAAATAAAATAATAAAATATTATATGCTGTACCAAGAATCAAATTTTTTTGTTAATTAAGTATTTCATTAATTCATTAATTTACTTTAACTAATTTTTATTCAAATAAGTGACTAAAAAAAAGTTCATGAGTTGGTAGTTCATATAATGAATTCATTTTTTTTAAAGTTTTAATAAAAAATGGATTTTTAATAATATATTAAGAAATTCTATAAACAGTAAATACTTTCACTTATGTTTGATTAATTTTTTTGACCTTTCTTTTTTCTAATGCATTATTAACAAAATTATTTAAAATATTTTAATTCAAAGTTTTCTTTTCTTATTATTTTTATTATTGAGTTTATTTATTATTATTAT